TTCGCCAAAAGATAGGAATCATTCTTTCCATGTTGAGAGTTTCCTTCTGAACTTCTCAATCAGGGGTTTCCACATGTCTATTCTCCTTAGATTGGCACCTAATGGCACTCCCAAATATTTGCATGGAAGGAAATCAATCCTGTAGTTTAGCAACCATGCCATTTTTCTAGTCCGTTCTTCTTCAATGTTAAGTCCTATTAAAGAGCTCTTCCTATAATTTTTATCAATAACAATGTTGATGATGCTGTTTAGTCCTTCCATGATGATCAAGGACAAAAAGGGAAACAATGGATCTCCTTGTTTTAATCCTTTTGAGACAAAAAAACTATTTGAACAGACTGAGCACCAACAAAAGACTAGTCTAAAGACATTCCCTAATCCATTTCCTCCATGTTTAATTAAACCCGAATCTCATAATCATATACTCAAGAAAGTTCCAACTCACCATGTAAAAAGCCCTCTCAAAACCATCTTTGAAGACAAAGCTCTTCTTCTTTTTCCTCTTAGCTTCATCAATAATTTCATTTGCCACAACGGTTCCTTCACATAATTGTCTACCTTTAATGAAAGTCATCTGCTCTTCCTCGATAATATCAGCCATTATCGAGCATAACCTGTTGGAAAGTAGTTTAGCAATGACTTTGTAAAGGGTGCCAATGAGTGAAATAGGCTTAAACTCCTCAATTCTTCAAGGGCTCTTCATTTTTGGGATCAGTGTTAAGAAAAAAACATTCAAACCTTTTACTAACTTCCCCTTCTTGTGAAATTCTTGGACAAATTCCACAACATCTTCTTTTATCTCGTTCTACATCTTCTTGAAGCAAGTGAAATTGAAACCATCATATCCAAGAGCCTTGTCGCACCCACAATCCCACATTACTGCTCTAACATCATCTTCACTAAATGGCATTACAAGTAGTTCATTCTGGGCTTGAGGGATTTGTTTAAATGAGATGCCATCCAAGTTTCGCCTTACCCATTCTTCCTCTTTAAATAAATTCTCAAAGTACTTTATTATACCTTTTTTTGATTTCATCAACATCTTCTAGCTTCTTGCCATTCACTTGGATACTGACAATCTCTTTCCTACGTTGTTTGTTGCTAATATATTTGTGGTAAAATTTTGAATTTGCATCCCCCTCTTTCATCCATTGTTTCCTAGCCTTCTGTCTCCATCACCCTTCCCTAACCTTCAAGTTAATCCACAGTTTACAGAATTCTGCTTTCTTGTCACTAACTTCTTGCCTTGAAAGTGTCCTTTGTTCACCTTTGGGATCCAGTGCTTCAATTTTTTCTTTCCTTTCAATAATGCTTTAATCCAACCTTATGTGATCATTCTCACACCATACTTTGAGTCTTTTCTTAACAAGCTTAATTTTCTCCTTAAAACAATAGCCTTTCCACCCTTGAGCATCAGTTGTTCTCCATGTATCTGTTATCAATTCATGGAAGCCTGGTTTGTTGATCCAGCTACCAAAGCATTTAAAGGGCTTAGGTCCCCAGTTAATCTTTGAATCTTTCAACAAAATTGGACAATGATCAAAGAGTGATCTCTTTAAACCCCACTGCCTTGTTTCACTCCAATTTATTAACCATTCTTTTGTCATTAAGAATCAATCCAGCCAACTCATAGAGTTACCATTGAAGTGGTACCATGTGTACTTTCTCCCAATTAGAGGGATGTCCACCAACCTAGGTCCATGAATGAAGTTTGCAAAATCCCTCATGCTTCTCAACACATTAGTGCATCCAACCCTTTCCTGACTGTTTTTGGTAGTGTTGAAATCACCCATCACACATGAGTTACCTAGGCGAGATGGGTAACCCAACCGGTCTCTATTGCCATTCATGAAATGAGAAAACGCTCCCTGCTGCCTTAGTCTTATTATTATAATCTATTTACTTTATTAATGAACTTTATGATTCACCATATAAAAAAAAAGTTTCAAAAGTTGAAAACTCTACAATGCTAAATAGATTTCTTTTAGTAAATTGCAATTAAAGCTAAATAATAGGCATTAATTAACATTTGGTGTACTAAAACAATCTTCCATAAAAAAAAAATACTAAAGAAAATCCTTTTAAATACAACTCAGTTACACACACACACATATATATATATATGATTTTTGTGGAGTTGATTCCCACAATCCTCATCACTTTCCAATTTTGTATCCCGTCTCTAGAAGCATAAGCATTTATTCATGCATTCATGCCTTTTTTTTTTTTTTTTTTGATCATGGTGCATTCATGCTTATGTATGTTTTGAGACATGCATTAAAAATTATCTTTGTCATGACTTAGCTCGTTCAATTACAGTAGAAGCATGAAACAAAAGCTTTTCCTCCTATTATAATTCATGCATGAGATGATTAAAACTAGAAGAAAATTTGTAGTCAACATTCAAAGTTTTCACTACCAAATAAAAAAAAAAAAAAACAAAAAACAAAAACAAAAAACCAGAAATTTCATGAGAGTTACATATACTATATACAAATTATCTACATCTATCTATATATTACACACTCAAAGGAAAAGGGTTATTTTTACAAGATATTTATCTACAACATAGCTACTAGAACACCAAAATATGTTAAAATAAAATAGTTTCATGAAAATAAAGAAATCGAAACTAATTTGCATGGTGAAAATAAAGACGTTAAAGTTTCATGCTGGTGTTATCGATGCGTACTTTCTAGCTAGTTCAAATGATGAAGTACATTTAATGTATGCGTGCATGCTTGTCTATGTATGCATGGCTATATATATGTTTGCAAAAGATGACAAAAATCAGTTCGTGATAATACCATGTGTATAGAAACACTGCAAACACTAGTACGTATCTATGGTACTGATCATTTGAGACAATAATAGGACGTAATATCTATAAGCGTTTTCTTAGTACAACAATGAGTTTTTCTATAAGCATAACATCGACACAATCACACACAAACAATTAATAGAAATACACAATAATTGCATAAAATCATATCCAAAGCTTATATTGTTTCCTTTAATTAAGGATATACATCGGTATATATAAATATATATATATATATATAAAAGTTTAAATCATCTCTAAGATAAGTTCGTACTACCTAGCTAGTTAATCGCCTAGATATATATATATATATATATAAAAGTTTAAATCATCTCTAAGATAAGTTCGTACTACCTAGCTAGTTAATCGCCTAGATACGTTTGGCGAAAGGTGAATGTTGTTCAAAGAATTTTGCCCATTTCCGAATGCCGCCAATGAAGACATCACCTCAGCTTCCCAAATGTTCTCATCATTGAATATCTGCTGTGTAGAAGCCACAATGTTAGCTTGCTGTTGATGTTGATTTTCAAAAACATTGTCGTTAATCAATGAATCGAGAAATGAAGAGAAGATATCTTCATTGCAATTCTCCACATAATCTCCTTTATTGCCTTGAACGTGGCTGGAACTTGGTAGATCCGCCACTAAACCCTCAGAGTCCCTCCGATTTCCCGTTGTTTTATCAACAAGTGCCTGGTTTTGATATGGGTAATACATGTTGGTTGTTTTGAAGTGCTGTTGTGGGTTTCTAGTCGTGATTTTGGCTGCAGTTTGTTCTAACTCGGAAGAATTAGAGCTGGGATTAGGGTTTGATGTTGGGGGAGGATTATTTTGCGAGGGATTGGAGGAACTAGGGTTTATCAGATTCAAAGGCTTATGGGTTCTTGGATCAATTCCTTGGCTAATTAACTTCTTGCTTAGATGGGTGTTCCAATAATTCTTGATCTCATTGTCGGTCCGACCAGGAATCCTCCCAGCTATTAAAGACCACCTGAAAAGAGGATCATAATTGAACCCAAAAATCGAAAACAAGTCCCGACAAACACTATATATTGGACATGAAATCCGATAAAGATATATTAAGCAATCATGCATGTATTATTAATTTTGTGTAAGAGAATGAAGAAAATGATAACCTAAAATTTAGTACAGAGCTCCTGTTCAATCTCAGTATACCTGTTACCGAGCAAGCGGTGGAGGCGGAGGATGAGATCTTCTTCATCGGGAGCAATACGACCTCTTTTAATGGATGGCCGGAGATAATTCATCCAGCGGAGGCGGCAACTCTTGCCGCACCTGAGCAGCCCAGCACGCTTTGGTAACGTGCGCCAGCGGCCCTCGCCTTCCCGGTTGATGTAGTTGGCTAGGAGCTCGTCTTCCTCCTGTGTCCAGGGTCCTCTCTTTATACCCACCTTGCTGCAACAGGGTGTAGTAGTCTTGCTCGTCGACGCGGAAGATGGATTCGGATTCCTCATGATGATGGAACTGATGTCCTCTGAATTTCTTGCTCTGTTCTTTGGAATTTGGATTGTTTTACGTTCTTTCGATCTTCTTTGTTGGGTTTTGTGTTGGAAAAGTAAAAGAGAGAAATTAGGGTTTGGTGGGGATGAAGATGAGGATAAATGAGGAGAAGCAAAAAGGGATCTAATAAAAGTTGAGTTTGATTGTGGATAGAATCCGAGTAGGGGACAGCCTTTCTATATTTATTTCTAGGAAGATGTGTGCACACCCGGGTCCGGGTGTGCACACCTCCCATAAAAAGAAAAAAAAAATTCCCACCGGGTGCATATCATTTTTTTTTTATGTGGGGGTGCACGTCCGAATGTTGGATATGGGCATGCACCAATCATGATCCTTATTTCTATGGGAAAATTACCTTTCTTATTATTATTTATATAATTTTCTAAAATTGGAAACCATGCATTTTAGAAAATGGATTTTGAAGTCATTGATTTGACTCAAGCAAATATTTTGAACAATTTTATCAATGA